ACGCAAAAGGTACTGCGAGGGGACGCAAAAGGTACTGCGAGGGGACGCAAAAGGTACTGCGAGGGGACGCAAAAGGTACTGCGAGGTGATGCAAAAGATACTGCGAGGTGACGCAAAAGGTACTGTGAGGGAACGCAAAACGCAAAAGGTACTGTGAGGTGACGCAAAAGGTACTGTGAGGGAACGCAAAACGCAAAAGGTACTGCGAGGTGACGCAAAAGGTACTGCGAGGGGACGCAAAAGGTACTGCGAGGGGACGCAAAAAGGTACTGCGAGGTGACGCAAAAGGTACTGCGAGGTGACGCAAAAGGTACTGCGAGGTGACGCAAAAGGTACTGCGAGGTGACGCAAAAGGTACTGCGAGGTGACGCAAAAGGTACTGCGAGGGGACGCAAAAAGGTACTGCGAGGTGACGCAAAAGGTACTGCGAGGGAACGCAAAAGGTACTGCGAGGGAACACAAAAGGGAAAAAAAATCCTCCATGATTTCTGTGGCAGTTTTATAACCGTCGTCCTTCTCCTCCACCAGTAGACCAGTGTTCCCACATTCTGCTCCTGCTGTTATTATAACGACAATCCTCTGGATTTCAGAAACACAAACGTCAGCAAATTATCAGCAACAAGAGCTACAAAACCCCAGTTGTCATCTATAAAACGTAAAATTTAATTTATAGGACAAAAACTCCAATTTAGTGCAGATAGTGAGAAAATAATCAAAGAAAAAGGTTAAAAGTTAAATTATTCTGATAACACCTTAATAAGTTCAAACAGCTGTAATTTCTGCTGCACTGAAGATATTTGGTGTTTATGAAATTGTATAATTAAACTAGTTTCCTGGCCTTTAGAGAAACTCTTGTTCTCACATTGAAGTGACTACAGCAACACTCTGCCTGCCTCTCTTTTTCCAGTCTGACTCAGCTTCCCGTAGCTCAAACACCAACATGTGGCAGGCTGCAGCAGGCCTGTGGCTCTGAACTGCAGCAACACGTCTGATGCTCAGAGACACACGTTAGTCCAACACAACTTCAATCCAACCAACAGGAGGTGACTTTTGACCTTTTTAAACACCGAGCAGCCGTGAGCGGACCTTGTCCTGAGCCTCCTGGAGAACCCACATGGCCCTCTGACATTTCCACACATGGTGTCGGTTTCAAGTGCACTTGTAAAGACCGAGAGCCCAGCTGGATCAGACAGTTTGTAAAGAACTGTGGTGACATTTATAAAGTCCAGTTAAAGAAACACCTTACACTCTTGTCCCTCACTGTTATAATTTGTAGGTATTCACCTTGATATTCAACTACCTACATTTAAATGAACAAATGTTAGCTTATTTAGTTAAGTTTCTGTGTATTTTTGTTAAGTTTCTGTGTATTTTTGTTAAGTTTTAGTGTATTTTTGTTAAGTTTTAGTGTATTTTTGTTAAGTTTCTGTGTATTTTTCTTCAGTTTTAGTGATTTTTCTTCAGTTTTAGTGATTTTTCTTCAGTTTTAGTGTATTTTTGTTGTGTTTCTGTGTATTTTTGATGTCCAACCCTTCAGCTCTGGCCTCAATCATCCTTTTCATCAGTTTGATGAATTTCCTAGCTCAGGTAAAGTGTTTGTTGATCACTAACAGTGATTTTATTTTCTTTTTAGTTACATCTGACTGAACTGAAGCAGACTGACTCCAGCTGCTGTCTCATCCATGCAGCATCTCTTCACAGGCACGTAACACAGCCGGAAACGTGACAGCTTCACTTCCTGTCCTCTCCTCACCAACATGAGTCAGACACAAACCATCAGTTCTTTTAGCTTTCACGTGAGAACCGGAAACGCTTTGCTAACCTGAGGCATCACCGTGGTGTAAACTGGCTGTAAGGCTACAAATGTTAGCATAAATTAAATAAAGCTGCGTTAGTTCGACCAGATAGCAGCAGGTGACACCCACCTCATAACGACCCGCTTCCCGCTGACGTCAACTTTGTCCAGGGTGAGCTTGTTAGACAGAGACATGATGCTTGGTTCGGTTGTGGACCGGGTCCTGGCTCGGTTTGCTCCGCTTCAAAGGCAGGTTAGCTGCGGAATGTCAGCGGTGACCTTAGCTCGGATAGAGCGGAGGGTGGAGCCTGAGGGGGCGGGGCACACCACTGCCCCCGCTTTAATTGGCTCGCATGAGCGGAAAGACGTCCTGCCTGATTGGACTACATTCCTGCTCTTTTTCTGACGTCATCATTTTCCTACTGACGTCACTGCGGAAAGCCCGTTTATTTCAGGGGTGTAAAATTTTATTAAAATGTGATAATTTTTCTAAACTTCCAGTTAAACTATTTAAATTTCACCAACAAGTCCTTCATTAATGGAAATTAATCTTTAAGCATAACTTATCTCTCCATAACACTCCTATTTGGAATAATAGATGCATTTTAATAAAGAAAAGAAATCGTTTTATTTTAAAGAATGGATGGAAAATGGCATATGGTCAATTCAGCATCTCATGGATGATGGAGGGAAAATTCTAGACTTCGAACAATTCCAGCAGAAATACAGTTTTATCTGCTCTAAGTAGGCTGCAACTAACGATTATTTTAATAATAGATTATTTTTTCAATTAATCGGCCAAATCATTAAAACGCTTAATTACATGAATATGAGTAGATATAAATTAAGTTAACTCCTTAAAGA